GAACGATCCGCTCTCTTTCTCTCTCTGTCTCTCTCTCTCTTTAGCTCTCTCTCTCTCTCTTGCGCTCTCTCTCTCTTTTTCTCTCTTTGTCTGTGTCTCTTTCTCTCTCTCTCTCTCCAACTCTCTCCCTCTCGTCACTCTCTCTCTCTCCTCTCTCCCCTTTATCTCTCTCTCTCTATCTCTCTTTTCTTCTTTCTGTCTGTCTCTCTCTCTCTCTCTCTCTCTCTCTCTTACTTACGTCTTCAAGAAATTTTGATGTTTCGGAAAAATTGTGTCTAGGGATCCATTCAAAAAACCTAGAAATTTTGGCTGGCCTCTTTATCAAATGACAATACATGTCAATCGGATATTATAATAACGGCATACTAGGAATAATAGTAATAATAGTAATAATGCAAAAACGATCATAATAATAACGGAATGGCCGATGACCGTCACGCACCCCACATGACGCCCTCTGATTGTGCATTGTTGAGGCGACCTCTACTCGCGCTGTCGATAACGCGATGGCGACGAGACTGTGGCGGCGTCTGCAACGACAACCAGAGGAACTAACGGGTGCGGCTAAGGCGGCGACAAAGTCTGCGCGCAAGGGGGATACGCCATGATCCTATATTCGGCCGTTTTTGTTCTGATTCATGTAAAAAACATTAGGACAATGCCAGAGGTCGCCTGTACTGCACCTACATTCGTGGCTGCTATTCCGACTAAAAGATACTTGATTCTGATAAATACGTTTTGTCGTTAGTAACCAAGTATATATGAGGTTCGCTGCTTTGTTTTCCTACCAGGGAGGCGCGCTGCAATCTCCTCGTAGCTGCGGGTCTTGCGCGCCCGTTGCCCTGTTGTTGGGTCGTGCAGTAGGTGTTTACCCTGTTAGAAGCAACCAAAGCGTAATAAGTATAGAGCACAAGCAATGAGAACGGAGAGGAACAAAGGAGGTGCAGGAGGGAAAGGACTGAGAACGTGTGGTGAGTAAGAAAGGGTCGGTTGTTACATGTAAGCCAGTCAGCTAATATTAGATAAACACAGAAGTAGAAAGGGTATGGAAAGTGAGGAGTAAGGATGGTAGGAGCAGAGGAAGAAAATATAATAAAGACAATAGAATAAAAGAAATAAATTCATAATGAGAAAAAAAGTAGTGAAATATTCAAAGCTTTCCTGCTCCAGCGTGTCGGTTGTTTTTCTTGTTACTCCTACCTTATTGCTAGCACGTACCGGCCGCTGAGTCGCTAGCAGCAGATGAGCCTTGTTCCAGCGGCACTCAGAGCCACCTGATGGTCGTGCGAACACGCGGCTGCATAGGCGGGGAGTTGGGGAGCGAGTGTGACGCAGCAGTCGCAGTAATCCACGTAACCGCCAGCCGAAGCGGACGGAGGCGGCGTTTTGAGTGTCGCGGTCCGTACGCGTTGGCAAGCTGAATCCGTGCGCGCGCATCGTGACGCCCAGATGGCGACACTTGTCGCCGCGTCAGCGAGCTGGCGAGTCGAACCACTTGTGCGTCTTATCGGTGGCGTCGCCTGGCGCGGAGTTTGCTTGGTCTCACGCGCTCTGGCTGGCCGCAGACGAGCGCATCTGCGACGATAGCGCAGTCGGCCACGCAAGAAGCGCCTGCTCGAAAACGAAGGGCTCGGCGTGCGCTGGAACCGCGAGTCGGCTTCGATATCGAGGAGCGAGGACCTGGAACCGTCCTAGAAAACAAAGAACAGCTTTGATTGGGCTCAGCCTGAAGGCATGTTGGATACGTCACTCCCCTTTCTTTCTCTATCTATCTCTCTCTCGTGCTCTCCTCCTCTCTACTCTCCTCTCTCCTCTCTCTCTCTCTCTCTCTCGTTCTCTCCTCTTTTCTTTGCTCTCTCTCTCGTTCCTCCTCTTTCTTCTTCTTCTCTCTCTCGCTTACTCCTCCTTCTTTCTCTCTCTCTCTCTCTCTAATCTCATTTTTTCTCTATATATTATATACACACATATGGAATCTGTGTCTATAACACTACTGAACTGCGTGTCATGTAGGACAAGCGTGTGTGTGACGAGCTGTGATTGCTCACCTGTAGATGCTGGCAGCATGAGAGAGAATGCTGCGATCCACGCGTCTCCATTCTCTGCAACGAATCAGCCAATCGAAAGTTAGCGCAGCGACCAGTGACGTATATTGTCTTTTTCTCTCTCTTTCCCTCTCTCTCTCCTCTCTCTCTCTCTCTCTCTCTCTCTCAACACACAACACACTCTCTCTCTCGGCGCGCTCATCTCTCTCTCTCTCTCTCTCTCTATCCAGCTCTCTCTCTCTCTCTCTCTCTCTCTCTCTCTCTATCCTCTCTCTCTCTCATGGCTCTCTCGCTCCTCATCTCTCTCTCTTCTCCCATCTCCCCCTCTCTCTCTCGCTCTCTCGCTCTCTCTTTCTCTTCTCTCTCTAATATATAAGCTTCCTCTCGCTCTCTCTTTCCACTTTCTCCTTTCCACAATTTCTCGTTATATATATTCTCCCCTCCGCCTTCCTCTCTCCCTTTACTCGTTTTCCCTACGCCCTTTACTCTTCTCTCTGCACGTCTCTCTCTTCTCTCTCTTTCTCTGCTCTCTCTCTCTGCTCTCTCTCTCTCTCTCTCTCCTCTCTCTCGCTTTCTATGTTCCCTACACGATCATTGTATCGATATTTATTATAATATTGGATGTAATAGTAATAGCAAGCCCGGAGCAGGCCGTACAGAAGGCCGAGAACTGACCTTTCTTTGTGACCCTGCAACGATGACGTCATTAACTTTCGCGTAGCGGTGGATAGTATTTTCTTGAGTTCTGTCGATGATTCGATCTTTCTCCTCGTTAGTCGCCCAAGTCATTGTTTCCCATCGCTTGTTTCAAATGCGGAATCGACTTCAGCCGCTGAAAATAAGACAATCCAATCGATCATCGATCATCGATGCTAATCAATCAATCAAGCCAATCAATCAACCCGACGCCGACTAATCATCGCTCAATTTATCTAATCTATGTATCTATTTAATCTATTTATTTATTTAATCTATCTATCGTATCTATGTATGCTATCTATCTATCTATCTTTTTAAACTATTCTATCTATGCTTATCTATCTATCTATCTATTATCTTCTAATCTATCTATCTTATTTATCTATCTATCTTGATCCGATGATCGGATCGATCGATCGATCCTCTCTCTCTCTCTCTCTCTCTCTCTCTATATATATATATAGATGAAGTAAGATTTACCTGTGACGAGTGAAGACTCTCTTGCACCTCCATCTTGAGTCGCTCTGCCTCGGACAGCTGAAGCCTCAGTGACGTCATCTCTCGCTGCATGACCTCGCCGTGACCTTCCATCGTCATTCTGAGATCCGTCTCCTGCGGCAGATGACGCGACAGTCGGTGACGTCACCGCGTTAAAAAACATGGCCGCGGGGCGGTGACGTCACAGCGTTAACAAACATGGCCGCGCGGCGGTGACGTCACAGCGTTAATAAACATGGCCGCGGGGCGGTGACGTCACCGCGTTAACAAACATGGCCGCGGAGTGGTGACGTTGATTGGTTGGGGCACCCCACCGCTTCTTGACCCATGAGTCTGCCTCCCCTACCCCCACCCCGCCCTCTCGTAGCTATACTAACGCACACAGCCCTCCCCCCACCTTTCTCTCCCCACTTTCTTTCCCGAACCTCTGCCTCTCCCTCGACGCAGTACCTTCTGTAGTAGTTTTTGGGTGCTCGCTAGTCTGGCGTTCCTGTCCGTAGCCGACGTCTCCAATTCTCTGATCTTATCCGCCTGAGCCTCTATCTGTTCTCCAAGCACAGACACCTACAACACACACACATACACACGACGTCATCAATACCTGTAATGTGCACAAGTGACGTCATCGATATCTGCAACACGCACATACACATGACGTCATCGACACTTTTAACACATACACGTGACGTCATCGATATCTGCAGCACGCACATACACGTGACGTCACTCATCATCTACATCGCAAAAAGAGAAGGATATAATGACGTGCGACTCTAACGCTCACTCTCAGTCTCACATTCTCTCTCCCTCTCTTACCCTCTATCTCATTCATTCTTTGCCCCACTGTCGCACACCCTCTCCCTCACTCTCTCTCACGGTTCTTCTCCCTCTCTCTCATTCTCTATCCCTCTCACTCACTCTCTCTCATACCCTCTCCCCCGCTCTCCCTCGGTTTCCCCCTCTCTTTCCCTCTCCCCATTCTCTCCCTCCTCTCTCCCCCTACCTTCCTCTCCCACCTCCCCATCTCTCTCTCCACATCAGCAGCTCACAGACGAACCTGTAGCTGTAGATTGCGCTTCTCACGGTCTAGCCTTTTCAGTCTCTCCTCTAACTCACCGGCAGTAGGTAGACTCCCCGTAGGACTCTAAAAGCACTTTGTTGCTGACGTCACACCTTGAGAATAGCTTTCGCAGTCCCTTCAGTTCTTTGTGCGGTGATTTCATCACAGGCTGCTGGCCGTGAGTGAAGGTCGCCGACTGTCGTGCAAGCTGGTTCGAATGCACCTCACCTACGCAAAGATGGCGGCGGTGACGCAAAGATGGCGGCGGTGACGCGAAGATGGCGGCGGTGACGCAAATATGGTGGCGGTGACGCAAAGATGGTGGCGGTTATGGTAAATATTAGATGATAGAACGACGCTCTCTTTCTCTCTCTCTGTCTCTCTTTCTCTCTTTAGCTCTCTCTCTCTTTCGCTCTCTCTCTCTCTCTCGCGCTCTCTCTATCTTTTTCTCTCTCAGTCTGTCTCTCTTTGTCTGTGTCTCTCTCTCTCTCTCTCTCTCTCCAACTCTCTCCCTCTCTCCAACTCTCTCTCTCCCCCTCTCTCCCCCTTTATCTCTCTCTCTCTATCTCTCTTTTTCTTTCTTTCTCTCTCTCTCTCTACTTCAAGAAATTTTGATGTTTTCGAAAAAATTGTGTCTAGGGATCCATTCAAACAAACCTAGAAATTTGGCTGCCTCTTTATCAAATGACAATACATGTCAATCGGATATTATAATAACGGCATACTAGGAATAATAGTAATAATTGCAAAAACGATCATAATAATAACGGAATGGCCGATGACGTCACGCACCCCATGACGCCCTCTGTTGCATCGTTGAGGCGGACCTTCTACTCGCGCTGTCGGAACCATGGCGACGAGACTGTGGCGGCGTCTGCAACGACAACCAAAGGTAACTAACCGGTGCCGCTAGGGGGCGACAAAGTCTCGCGCAATACGCATATCCAATATTCGGCCGTTCTTTACTGATTCATGTACATTAGGAATGCCTCCGCCAGAGGTCGCCCTGGTACTGCACCTACATTCGGTGTGCATATTCGACTAACAGATACTTGATTTATGATAATAGTTTTGTCGTTAGTAACCAAGTATATATGAGGTTCGCATAGCTTTGTTTTCCTACCAAGGGAGGGCGCTGCATCTCCTCGTAGCTGCGAGGTCTTGCCGCGCCCGGTTGCCTGTTGTTGGGTCGTGCAGTAGGTGTTACCTGTTAGAAAGCAACCAGCGTAATAAGTATAAGCACAAGCAATGAGAAAGGGGAGGGAAACAAGGGAGGGTGCAGGAGGGAAGGACTGAAGAACGGTGTGTGAGTGGAAAGGGGTCGGTGTTACATGTGAGCCAGTCAGCTAATATTAGATAAACACAGAAGTAGAAGGGTAATGGAAAGTGGAGGAGTAAAGGATGGTAGGAGCAGAGGAAGGAATATAATAGGACTAATAAGAATAAGAAGAAATAATAATAAGAAAAAAAGTAGTGAAATATTCAAAGAATTTTCCTCTCCAGCGTTCGGTTCTGTTTTCTTGTTACTCCTACCTTTGCTACTGTACCGGCCGGCTGAGTCGCAGCAGCAGATGCGCTCTTGTTCCCGGCACTCAGAGCCACCTGATGGTCGGCTGCGACAGCGGCTGCATAGGCGGGGGAGTGGGGAGCGGAGTGTGACGCAGCGGTGGCAGTATCCACGGTAACCGCCAGCCGAGCGGACGGAGGCGGAGTCTTTGAGTGTCGTCCGTAACCGTTGGGCAGCTGATATCCGTGCGCGCGCATCGTGACGCCAGATGGCGCCACTTGTCCCGCCCGCGTCAGCGAGCTGGGCGGAGTCGACCACTTGTGCGTCTTATCGGTGGCGTCGCCTGGCGGCGGCGTTGCTTGTCTCACGCGCTCTGGCGTGGCCGCTAGACGGAGCCCATCGTGCGACGATGCGCAGGTCGGCCACGCGAGGGCGCTGGCGTCGAAACGAGGGCTCGGCGTGCGCTGGAACCGCGAGTCGGCTTCGATTATCGAGGAGCGAGGACTGGAACCGTCCTAGAAAACACAAGAACAGCTTTGATTTGCTCACTTAAGGCATCGTTGGATACGTCACTCTCTTTCTCTATCTATCTCTCTCTCGCTCTCTCCCTCTCTCTCTCTCTCTTTCTCTCTCTCTCTCTCTCTCGTTCTCTCCCTCTTTCTTTCTCTCTCTCTCGTTCTCTCCCTCTTTCTTTCTCTTTCTCTCTCTCGCTTACTCCCTCCTTCTTTCTCTCTCTCTCTCTCTCTCTTTTTTTTCTTTATATAATTATATACACACATATATAATCTGTGTCTATAACACTACTGACTGCGTGTCATGTAGGACAGCGTGTGTGTGACGAGCTGTGATTGGCTCACCTGTAGATGCTGCAGCTGAGAGAGAATGCTCGGATCCACCGTCTCCATCTCTGCAACGAATCAGCCATCGAAAGTTAGCGGCAGCGACCAGTGACGTATATTTGTCTTTCTCTCTCTCTCTCTCTCTCTCACACACACTCTCTCTCGCGCTCTCTCCCTCTCTCTCCTTCTCGCTCTCTCTTTCTCTCTCTCTCTCTCTATATATATATATCTTCCTCTCGCTCTCTCTTTTCCACTTTTCTCCTCTTTTCCACAATTTCTCCTTATTTCTCCCCCTCTTCCCCTTCCTCTCTCCCCTTTCTCGTTTTCCCTCGCGCCTTTCTCTTCTCCTCTCACTCTCTCTCTTTCTCTCTCTCTCTCTCTCTCTCTCTCTCTCTCGCTTTCTATGTTCCTCTTACACGATCATTGTATCGATATTTATTATAATATTGATGTAATAGGTACATAGCGGGCCGGAAAGCCGTACAGATAGCCGGAGAAGCCTGACCTTTCTTGTGACCCTGCACGATGACGTCATTAACTTTCCGGTAGCGGTGGATAGTTTTCTTGAGTTCTTCGATGATTCGATCTTTCTCCTCGTTAGTCGCCATCATTGTTTCCATCGCTTGTTTCAATCGGTCGACTTCAGCCGCTGAAAATAAGAGCAATCAATCGATCGATCAATCAATCAATCAACCAATCTATCTATCTAATCTTATCTTATCTATCTATTATTCTATCTATCTCATCGAATCGATCGCATCGATCGATCGATCTATCTATCTAATGTATCCATCCATCTATTTATTCTCTCTATCTATGCTATCTATTATCGATCTATCTATCTATCTAATTACTCTATCTATCTATCTATCTTATCTATCTATTATCTATCTATCTATCTATCTAATCTATATTATCTATCTATCATACCTATCAATCAGATAGTCAGCAATTAAACAATCAAATTCAATCAAGGCAATAAGCAAGCAAATGTTATCAATGCTATTAATCAATATCAACCAACATAATTATGAGTCAATCTATCAATCGGTTTAGCATCTGACACGGGTGAGTGGCATGCTAGTGGACATCGGCATTCATGGTAGAAGGAATAGCTTTAACAGCTTTTAACAACTATTTAATGGGCTCTAAAATTATTAACAATTTTAATTATATAATTGCACTAATAATTAATTATCTCAATTATAATAACAGACCGCACTTAAATACTGTAATGTCCGATTATTATGAATGTATATATATTATATAACATAAGCAGATTGTAAATAAACAAATAATTAATTGTTCATAATTACGCCATGTAACAATATATATTCAAAGATTTTTTTCATAAAAAAGATTTAAATCGTACGTAAGAATAATCGTAAAATAATCAATTAATAACAACATAGTTAAACATAATTCATGTTGTTCTGTAGTAAAGACATGCAGTTGTGGGTGTTAGAGAGAACACACTGTTAGGAGACGCATGCAAGCGTTTTAATCGATGCGTCCATTGGCCAGTTTCCGTGTTAGAGACGACGTAAGTGCCATATAGGTTGCAGTAGCGAGCAGCAGCCAGCCAACAGCATCAGTCTCATCGTCGTCATCATCTTCACCATCCAATCATTATCATCATTTCATCATCATTATTTAGGAGCAAAAAGAAGAGAACAACACAAACAAACACGAACAACAACAGCAGCAGCAGCAGTAGCAGCAGCAGCGTTTAGTACGTAGGGCCAAAAAAAAAAAAGCAGTAGCAGCAGCAGCAGTAGCAGTAGAAGCACCTAAGCAGCAGCAGCACGCAGCAGCAGCAGCCAGTAGCAGCAGCAGCTGCTTCAGCAGTAACGCAGCGCAGCACTGCAAGCAGCGAGGCAGCAGCAGCAGCAACAGCAGCAGTGGTGCAGCCAGCAGCAGCGCAGTGGCGAACATGAAAGCAAGCCGCGCCCTACAAAACACGCTTGCGGACATGCTGCCCACAAAATTCCTCGAAAATCCTGGTAAATAAATACAAACGTTTAACACATGCGCGTGCGAGTATATGTGCGCGCGTGTGTGTATGCGTGCGCGCGTACGTGCGTGCGTGTGTGTGCGTGCGTGCATACGCGTGTGTATGTGCGTGCGTGTGTATTCTACCATGAGAAGCTGCCCTCGGGAGTTGGGTGTGTTGGGGGGAGTCGCACAAATAGATTTGCAAAGCTGCTGGCCGTAGGCACCGGCGGGGTTCTAATTACGAACTTGCGATGACCTCTCCGTGACCTTAGAGCTCATCGTCTGCCGTCGTCATAGTGACAGGCATCAGCAGCTGGCAGCAGCGGGAGGGTTGCCACACGCACCACGCTGCTGAGCCATCAGTCCTCATGACAGCGGGGGAGAAATTAGGTTACCATGGCACACCAAGAGGCGTTCACCGCTATCACTGTACTTTACTCCTTTATGTTAGTCTACTATTTGTTATGTGAGGAGTAGTCAATATGTGTAGTCGATCTGGTTACTGTAGTCAGTTACCGCTAGGAGAGGAGAGTTTGGCTGTCAGTTATAAAAGCTAGAAAGGGGAGAGAGAGCAAAGTGGGGAGGGAGACAGAGAAGGAGAGAGAGAGAAAGAAGGAGAGCGCTAAGAAAGAAGAGAGAGAGCGAGAGAACAAGGTGAGGAAGAGCGAGAGGAGAGAGAGACGAGAGAGAGAGAGAGAGAGAGGAGAAGAAAGGAGGGAGAGAGGATGAGAGAGAGACAGAAGAGAGAGTGCGAGGAGGGAGAGTAGAGAGAGAGAGAGAGAGGAGGAAGACGAGACGAGGAGGAGAGAGAGAGAGAGAGAAGAGAGAGAGGAGAAGCGCGCGCACGCCTGTATATAATCTGGTTAGTCAATTGCAACTGTTTAGAGGATATATCTGGTAGTCAGCTATTATGTGTTAGCTAAGGGTATAGTTATTATATATTAGCTATATGTGTAACAGGGTTGCTAGCCATAGCTCACACACGGTGCACACACAACGTTCACTAGCCAGATCTTACACTTCGTCTCAGACGAGTCATTGTACCAGTTAGCGTTCGCATCGCGCTTGCTGTAAACAAACACAATGTCACAAACATTGTTACAAACACGTTCGTAAACAATGGTTTAGTAACAATGTTCACAATACAATTTTCATATACAATGTTCATGAACATATTTTCACACAATATTCAGGAGAATTTTATAATACTGTTTACAAACAATTTTCATCATTAGTAAATATTCGTAAACAGATGCTCATGAACATGTTCATGAACGCTGTCTACGGATAATTGTTCAAAAATAATGTTTACAACTTCGTAAACAAAATAGTTTTATAAACATGCTTCGTAAACAATTTTCTAAACAATCCTCTCTCTTGAGTAATCCAGAGAAAAAGCACTGAGCATATCTCTACTTCTACAGATAGTGGCGCTTTTCGTAGGTGCCTATCGAGCATGGCGACAGAAACCGCACTATACTCAGCAGGTAGTAACACACTTAAGCAGGATCAGAGAGACATGATACCAAGAATTGCGTGGAACAGCTTTGCTGCTTGAATCCATGAGCGCTGCGCGCGGATGAGACGCGCAGTTCGCGAGATAAGTGCTGTCCGGCCAGTGGATACGTGCAGCAAAGTTACGAGCGCCGGCGCACGTCTCCACAGCGGTCAAGCGGATGCCGTCTGTAAGTTTTTAGAGATAACAATAAGGGACTTTGCTTC